CCAGGAGTTGGAGGTTGCTGTGAGCTGTGATGCCACAGCACTCTACCCAAGGGGACAGCTTGAGGCTGTCTCAAAAAAAAAAAAAAAAAGCCAAAAGAACAAGCATAGTCCATCCTAGCTTGTTAATAGAGTATAAAACTATACTGACTAGAGCCCCTGCATGCACAGGGCAGGACATGTCAGAAGGGCACCTGGCAGGGGCGGAATGCAGTGCACCCCTGCTCCCTTGCGCCCCGCCCCAACCTGGTGCCTGCAGTGTGCAGGCAGAGGACACTGAGAAGCCATGAGTGGCCAGCCAGGGAAGGCGGCGGCACTGCTACTCAAGCTGCTCCTGGAGGCTCTGCCACAGTCAAGACTTCCTGTTTTTCTAAACATCCCCCAACAATTGAAGTAAATAAGAATGCTAGTTCCTGTGGCTCATGTGGCTCAGTGGGTAGGGCACCTGCTGCATGTACCAAGGGTGTGAGTTCAAACCCCGCCCTAGCCAAACTGCAACAAAAAAATAGCCATGTGTTGTGGCAGGTGACTGTACTCCCAGCTACTCAGAAGGCTGAGGCAAGAGAATCACCTAAGCCCAAGAGTTGCAGGTTGCTGTGAGCTATGTGATGCCACAGCACTCTATCAAGGGTGATAAAGTAAGACTCTGTCTACAAAAAAAAAGGAATACTAGTTCCTAGCCAAGTTACAAGAGCAGGCTATTTCAAAAACAAAGTTGCTGCCCTGGAGGTCAACCATGCCACGTTCTGTTACAGTGTTTCTGGAAGGAGTGGGGGACAGCCAGCTGCAAACACTACTTGAATATGAGATTCCACAGATGTTGGCCTGCCTGAAAAAGATCCCCTCTCATCAAAAGCAGTTTCAGTCTAACTTTTCATTATGGTGTAGAAAAGAATCAACACCAGGTTTTTTGTTGACACTGGAAGAGGTCTTGAAAATCTACTTTCAGGGACAGTTATTGATGTCGAGGTGACCAGGAAGGAATGGTATAATTTTTTTCTTGTGAGTCAGTTTGTGCAAGAAGAAACTATCACCCCTACACACTATAATGTCATCTATGATGAGGCTGGCTTGAGTCCAGATGAAGTACAGCATTTAACTTATAGTCTGTGCCACATATATAATAACTGGATAGTTTGTAATTTGAGCTAGTCTCATAAACAATGAAAACACCCAGGAAAATGTTGTTACCAAGAAAATAACTGACTGAGATGTGCAGCCAGGAGTCAGGATATGGGTTCCTCGTTTAAGAAAAGCAAGTTGGGCTCGGAGCCTGTGGCTCAAGCGGCTAAGGCGCCAGCCACATACACCCAAAGTGGCGGGTTCGAATCCCCAGCCCGGCCCACCAAACAACAATGATGGCTGCAACCAAAAAATGGCCAGGCGTTGTGGCGGGTGCCTGT